GAAGGAATGGAGCCAGTTCCAGTTCCAGAGGCAGATTGAGTGGAAGCCGGAGCCAGAGGCTGTCCTCGCCGCCGAGCCCAAGGCCCTCGATCTCGAGGACGCTGCCGAGGATGCAGAGGCACTATCCGACATTCCACCAGAGGCCCAGGCCGCCCTGGCCGAGATCGACGCAGCATTAGAGAGAGAGATTGAACACAGGAACCGCTTGGAGGCTTTGGAAGAGGCTTCCGAGCACTCCGTCCGATCAGCCTCCCCCGCCGTCCGCTCTTGCCACTCCCCGGCCATCGACCCCTCGAGGACACCGTTCAGCATCCGCACCGCTACCCCTCCCGTGCACCCGCAATCCCAGGTTTACGCCGACCACTTGCACCACCTGTCTGAGGATGGCCGCTACTCTGAGATCCCGGCCGTCTTCGAGGCCATGCTGGTCGCTGGCGTGCCCCCCATCGCCAGTGCCTACAACGCCCTGTTGATGGCCGCCATTCACCTGCCCAACGCCAAGAATGAGATGGTTTCCAAGGCTCTGGACGTGTACGCTGATATGCTCCGCCGCAAGGTGGTCCCCGACAGCGACACTTACAACATCTTGGTTGGCCTTCTCGCGGCCCGCTCTCTCGAGGTCGCTGCTCTGAAGAAGTCCCTCGACGAGAAGCGCGTTCGCTTTGGTGGCATGGACGAGCCTGGCAAGTTCATGTTCGCATCCCACGAGCTTGAGCATGCCATTCTTTCTGAGGACGACAGGCTGGGTCTTGCTATGGAGATGTTTGAGAAGTCAGTCCTCACCCAGAGGGCGTCCTACTCGGCTGAGTCTTACCACCAGCTGATCTCTGCCTGTGCTCAAGCCGGACGTGTCGATGACATGCTCCGCCTGTACGAGCACATGGAGCTGAACCGCGTCACTCCTTTTGCTGCCATGTTCCCCGCCATGATCACCGCATTCGCCAATGCCGGTGACCTGGTCAGCGCTGTCGAGTGCTACAATGAGTACAAGGACCTCGCCATTGCTAATGACAAGGGCGAGCCCTCTCTCAACGACAGACTCGACGCCGAGGTTTACGCCGCAGTAATTCACGCCTACATCATCTCCGACAAGGTCGAGGGCGCTATGAAGTTCTACGAGAAGATCATCACGGAGTACGAGGTTCGCGCAGGCGACATCAAGGACGCCATTGTCAGCTCTGGCTTCGTGAAGGCCTTCACTGAGCGTGGCATCTTCAACGAGGCCCTTCGCTGGGCTCAGGTTGTCGAGGCCGAAGTGAGAGCTGAGCCGATGAGCAGTCTGGCAACCCGGGCTGCTGACGTCGGTGACAAGCTCACTGCCATTGCGGCGTTTGCCAACCTGCCCATCAACTTCCAGCCCGTCGCCACCCCCGCCATGGCACTTTTGGCTCTCAGCGTTCGTGAGGGCGATGTCGCTTCTGCGGCCCGCTACTGGGGCATCCTGTGCAACCCTGAGACCCCTGTCACCGCCGCCCTTATCGAGCCCACCGCCATGTTTGCCATCGCCCTTATTGGCTCCGGCCAGGTCGCTGAGGGTCTGTCTCAATCGGAGATGATGTTCCAGAGAATTCGCGCAGTTAGCCCGGAGCACGCTGACGAGGTCGAGGAGGGTGTTGACTTTATCCACCGATTCATGACCAGCCGCGGTATCGCGGACCCTCGTGAGATCGCTTCCCAGGTCAACTCCGCTTCTCCCTTCGCATCCACTGCCACTGTCTCCAGCTTCGAGGATTCTTTCGACCCGTATGCGCACAACACCGACTTCAAGGGCTCTTCGCTTATCTCTGATGAACTGGAGGGCGCGCACGGTCGCAAGGGTCCCAGGCTCCATGATGCTCTCACCCGGTTCCGCAACATGCGCCGTGCTGGCCGTCACCCCCGCTACATCACCTACGCCAAGCTGATCTCCGCTGCCGCACGTGACAGCAAGATGGAGCTGTGCAACGACATCCTCGCCATGGCCCGCACCGACGTTCCCCTCCTGCCCCAGTACGCTGTCGTTCGCTACGGCTGGTCTTCCATCCTGGACGCCATGGTTGGTGCTTGCTTGACGATGGGCAACCGCCAGATGGCCGAGCAGTACCACCAGGAGCTGCTCGCCATGGGTGCTGCCCCCTCTGCCAACACTTTCGGTCTTTACATCACCACCCTCAAGGAGTCCGCCAAGACTTTCGACGAGGCTTCCGAGGCTGTCAAGATCTTCCACCGTGCCAAGGCTGAGGGCGTCGAGCCCAGCTCCTTCCTGTACAACGCTCTGATTGGCAAGCTGGGCAAGGCTCGTCGCATTGATGACTGCCTCTTCTACTTTGCTGAGATGCGCGCTCTTGGAATCAAGCCTACCTCTGTCACCTACGGAACCATTGTCAACGCCCTCTGCCGTGTCAGCGATGAGAAGTTTGCTGAAGAGCTGTTCGACGAGATGGAGGCCATGCCCAACTACAAGGCTCGCCCCGCTCCCTACAACAGCATGATGCAGTTCTTCCTGACCACCAAACGCGACAAGTCTAAGGTCCTTGCCTACTACGAGCGCATGAAGACCAAGGGTATTGCGCCTACCGCGCACACCTTCAAGCTTCTCGTTGACACCCACGCCACCCTGGAGCCTATTGATATGGCTGCGGCTGAGGCTGTTCTTGACGCCATCCGCGCCTCTGGTCAGAAGCCCGAGCCCGTCCACTTCGCTGCCTTGATCCACGCCCGCGGCTGCAACCTCCACGACATGGAGGGAGCCCGCAAGGTGTTCGACTCCGTCATGGCCGACCGCTCCGTCTCTGTCAACGCCAGCCTCTTCCAGGCTCTGTTCGAGGCCATGGTTGCCAACCACAAGGTTGCCGACACCGAGGCAGTTCTCGGACAGATGCGCCGCCGCGGTGTTGAGATGACTCCGTACATCGCCAACACCCTGATCCACGGCTGGGCTGCTGAGAAGAACATCGACAAGGCTCAGTCCATCTATGACTCCGTCGTTCACGACAAGCGCGAACCCAGCACGTACGAGGCCATGACCCGCGCCTTCCTCGCTGTCGAGGAGCGCGAGAAGGCCAAGGGCGTCGTTGGCGAGATGCTTTGCCGCGGCTACCCCAGCGCCGTTGTCAACAAGGTGCTGGAGCTCCTGGGCGGTGGCGGTGGTGAGGAAGCTGCTGCCCAAAACTAAGCTTCTCCTTAACCGCAACCATCCTTTGTCAATTCATCGAAGCACGCATTGAGCAGCAGCTCTGCGTGTCCTTTCAGATTACCATATTTCCTTTGTAATTGCCCTCAACTACCGATTTGTTTGATACCCCGTTGTGTGTTTTGACGCCGGTGGACCGAGGGTTCGGGGTGTCTGGGTAGGATGGGCGGCTAGGTTGTGATAATCGGCAGTGCGCTGGAGGCATCTTTTCCATTTCCGTTTCCTATGTTACATTGTGCTTGGTTTTTAGGAGTCTGAATTTGGGTGTGGGAGTCGAATTCATCCCCGACGTGTTTCGGGGCGGGTTACCACGGCGTTGCGGAAGCAAAAGGGTCAAAGGGGCAGAGCCACCCGTTCACAGGGGCTTTTTCGGAAAGCGAGCGATGACGGCCATTGGCCCGCAACAAACGATAGACACTACTCCACTCAGCATATAAAAAAGAGAAGGGCGCGCGCGGGTAGAATGCGCGACGACTGCAGCATAGAGGGATCAGGGACGGGTCGGGCGGACGGGAGGACACGGATAACGGTATCTACGAAGGTCAGATTACGACATGCCCATGACAGAACGGGGCGTGTGATCCTGCTGTATGTATATTATCGGCAGACATTGGCATTCCAAGAAGATTATGTCAAACTGTTCAAAGCTTGTTCCTTACTCGAAGTGAAGACCAATGCGTGATTTGACGTTTCGAAGAGGCCGGGCCCCTGTCAAGTAAGAGGCCGCCGCTTCCATCCGTGCCCGCAAAGGCAGCTCTGACGTCCGGCATGCCGTGCATGTTTCAAGAACACACGGAAGAGACAGGAAACGGGCCCAAGCTCCTGGACGGAAGCAGGTCTGACAGCTATGGGCATCGGGGAGGCACCTCTGGCAGAAAGGCATAGTGTGTATTGGTTCGCTGCCATGCTGGAATTCTTCAGTTGATCCAGCAGAAGCTCGACAACGAATCCATCGGGGTGCCGCCCGCTCCAATTGGACGGACGGATGGGGTCACTCCCGTCCTCGGCGTTGGGGGCCGGAGCTTATGGGGCGGGCAAACACAGTCGCGGCAAACAGAGGCATGGTAAGGTACCAATCATGCAGCAACAGCGCAGGCGGCAGAATTGGCGGGCTCGGATGCTACTGTATTTTAGCACTGTCTCTTCCCCCCCCCCACGATGCGTATGTGAGGTCGTCCGCCTTTTTTTCCCTCAACGCTGGCCCAAACTTTCTGCCTTACGGTTCCATCACGACTGCGTCATCAACTCACCCTCCTCTTTGACCTCCTCTGGTTGCAAATTCAGACCAGAGTTTCAAAAAGGTATACACTGCAGTTTTCCCGCTGTGATTGTTCCAATTGGCGATCTTGCCCTCTCTTCTCTCTCATCTTCTTTTGAGAAAAGCAACTCGGGAAGGCGGCAGGTTGCAGCACAGCTTAAGCAAGCACGGGAGAGACAATAAACGCCCCTGCCTTATCGTCGCTATCGTCGTTATCGTCGTCTCTGTTGTTCCTGTCATTATTCGTCTCCGTCCTCCGTCCTCCGTGTCCGTCCGTCGTCTCTGTGGTAGAGTACGGATACCTTAGGTAAGCTAGCTGAGCGCGTCTTAGGTAATCACAAATAAGTAGAGAACAGAGGGGTTCTCTAAGTGATAGCTTATATAAGACGAAGTTCCTCAGTTTGCCCGAGACATTTTGTTTACGCTGGAGTAGGTAACACGAGAAGGCCTGCCCTTCAACATAAGGCTACAGTCCACAGACTACAACCGGTCAATAGAGCGACTACCTTGACTGAGCAGCTGGGGAACAAGAGACGGAAGGTCGCAAAAAAAGGAAGAAAAAAAGAAAAAATGACGGCCGGAGCAGACACGACCGCGACCGCCGTCTCGGCCCCCGGGAAGGTGCTCCTCGCGGGCGGGTATCTCGTCCTCGACCGGGCGTACACGGGCCTCGTTTTCGGGCTCAGCGCGAGGGTGAACGTCGTCGCGGCCGAGATCCACACGTCGCCCGGCGTGCACCTGACGGAGATTATCGTCGAGAGCCCGCAGTTCCTCGACGCGACGTGGCGGTACGGGTTCCATCTCGCGCCTGAGGATGGGGGGATTACCGTCACGCAGCTGCAGGTGTAAGTTGCTTCTCTTTACGTGCTTCCCTTTCGGCTTGGATCAGGCTTCGTCACGTTTGATATGTTCAAGTGAAGTGGTGATGGTTGTCGGTGAGGTGGGGTCGGTGGTTGCGGTGAGGGGCTGATATCGCTCACTTGGACATGTGAGATCTCATGTGAGATGACAGCCTCGATGAACCAACCTCACCAGCATCCCACACGTCTAGAGTTGCAAAGTCACTAACACCATCCCCCAGCGGCTCCAAAATCAACCCCAACCCCTTCGTCGAGACCACCCTCTCCTACGCCCTCACCTACATCGCCAGCATCCGCAAACGCCGCCCAAACCACGCCCTGACATCCACCCGCCTCATCATCCTCGCCGACAACGACTACTACTCCCTCCCGGACACCACGCCCGGCGCCGCCGCCCAGCAGCAGGGCCGCTTCGCGCGGTACCCCCACACCCTCAGCGAAGCCCACAAGACCGGCCTGGGCTCCTCCGCCGCGCTCGTCACCTCCCTCACCGCCGCCCTCCTCACGCACCACCTGCCCTCGAACCTCTTCAACCTCGCCTCCGAGGCCGGCAAGCACACGCTGCACAACCTCGCGCAGGCCGCGCACTGCGCCGCGCAGGGTAAAGTCGGCAGCGGCTTCGACGTCGCGGCCGCGGTCTTCGGCAGCTGCCGGTACCGCCGCTTCTCGCCGTCCCTGCTCGACGGGCTCGGCGCGCCGGGGCAGCCCGGGTTCGCGGAGGCGCTGGTGCGCAAGGTGGACGAGTTCCAGGGGTGGGACGTCGAGGTCGACAAGAGCGTCAGCCTGGCGCCGGGGTTGTGTCTGCGCATGTGCGACGTGGACTGCGGCAGCCAGACGGTGGGCATGGTGAAGAAGGTGCTCGCGTGGCGCAAGGAGGACGCGGCGGGGAGCAAGGCGCTGTGGGACGAGCTGCAGGGCCGGAATGAGGCGCTGGCGGCGGTGTTGAAGGATGGGCGGACCGAGGAGGTTGGCGCGGCGGTCGGCAAGGTGAGGGGGCTGATTAGGAAGATGGGCGAGGGCAGCGGGGTGCCGATTGAGCCGCCGAGCCAGACGGAGCTGCTGGATGCGGTGAGCGGGGTGGAGGGCGTGCTTGGGGGGGTTGTACCGGGCGCGGGCGGGTTTGACGCGCTGGCGCTGGTGATGAGGGACGATGAGAAGACGAGGAAGAGGGTTGAGAAGTTTTTGGAGGGGTGGAGCCGGGAGAAGGGGGCGAGGGTGAAGTTGCTGGGCGTTTTGGGGGAGATGGAGGGCGCGCGGAGGGAGGAGCTGGGGGTTTATGCTGGGTGGCTCTTGTGAAGCGATTTTCTTGAAGGGGGTGGAGCAATTGAAGGGAGTTCAAAAAGAAAACGGCAAGTTTAGAACATAGCAACGACAATTGAGCGTGAGATTTCGACGAGCAAAACTGGCTTGAATGAGTGAACGGGTGAGGGATGTGGTCGTGGTGGTGAACTGCCGCTGCGTGGGTGCTCCACCCAATCGTGCTACATAGGCTGGTTTTGAGCCGATTACTGTCACCAATCAAATGCGGCGGACATAGCTCAGTTGGGAGAGCGTCAGACTGAAGTCAACTTCAATCACTTAATCTGAAGGTCGTGTGTTCAATCCACACTGGCCGCATAAACTTTTGCATTTTTGCAGATCTCATGATATATCTTGACATAGCGCTGTGCAACGACGGTGTCGATTGCTCCTTGTTCAGAAACTCTTTGAAGCTGAGACTTTGTTTTTTGCTACCTCTTCAGGCTTTTTAGATAAGACTGCATATTTTTTTCGTGCTAGAGCAATTACTTTTCCCGTCAGTTTATATGCACTCCATGTTAAAGCACTATCGTCATCGTCTGCTGGCGTTCATTGTTGTCCTTCGTTGGTATTGTCTGTTGTCGTCGTCGTCGTAGCCGTCCCCGTCTTAATTTCTGCTACTGTCGTACTCATTCAAGTCTACTGTGGTGTCAACTAGATGCTCCTTCCACACGCTTCCGAAGCTCTGTAGAATTTTCTCTTGCAGGCCAGATCACTTCACTTCAACTGTACGCCCAATTTTCACCCTCTCTCTCTCTCTCCACGCCTTCCATCTTTTCTTTCTACATCGTCGCGGCCCCCTTTGCAACCCACCTTCCCTTCGCTTTTCGACGATCACTATCGTACCAGCCTTTCCTCTTCTTCAACCTCGATCAACCTTTTTCTATGAAAGGTGAGTTTCAATCTCCAGGGGGTTTATCTGCTCCTCTGCCTCTCTCCATCTCTCTTCCCCCTCTCTCTTCATCCTGGTGCCGTCCTATCTTTCAAGTTTAAAGGGCTGACTGAAAATACTTTCACCTTCGAGTGCCTTGGCGAAAACCTGACCGTCGTGCAGAAAGCAGCGACGCAACCTTCCAAGATTTCAAGCTTTTCTTCTGGCACACCTTTCTCATCACCAAAAGCCATCATGTCTGCCTTTCTCGACGACATGGACGAAGCGACGCTGCAGCTGATTGTCCAGATGCAACAGGAAGACATCAGAGAACTGCAGGACCAAAGCAAGGGCAAAGCTAAAGAAGCCGATCGGTCTGACGCAGACGTGGCTTTCGACACGTATCAAGCCGAGCTTGTGTCCTTCCGGACCTTCGCCGCGGACCGCGCCTTGAGTAGACGTATCGCTCGCCAGGAAGGCACCTACCCAAGAGTTACAACCATCACAGCTCCGGCAGAGCAGCAAGCTGTACCGGACGCAAGCAACCCAATTACTTCGCAGCCAGCTGAGAGCTACAGTGCCGAGGAGATCGTTACGGAGGAGATCGTTGCGGAGGAGATCCTCGCCGCAGATGCTGTCCATACAGTCTGCAACACCGACATTTCCGACGATGATTCTATCGTTGACATGCCCGAGTCCTCCTCCTGGGGTGCGTCCAGAAAAACTTCAAAGCGCACAAGGTCAAGAAGTCCAGATCGGCCAGAGACCCGGTCCTGCATTTCCTGCACCAAGGACTATGACCCGAGCAACTTTTATCTCGCTATATGTGACCACCTTTACTGCGCGACTTGTCTGCAGAAACTATTCCATCTGTCTCTGGTTGACGAGAGTCTTTTCCCGCCCCGATGCTGCCGAAAACCTATCCCCACGGATCAAGTACAGCACATCATACCCAAGCAGCTCATGCAGGAATTCGTCGCCAAGGAGATTGAATTTTCGACAGTCAACAGAACCTACTGTCATCAGCCTCAGTGCTCAGCATTTATACCTCCTACCAGCATTGAAGAAAGCATCGCAACCTGCCCTGCCTGTAAAGCAAAGACGTGCGTGTTGTGCAAGAGCATGGAGCACAAACACGACGAAGTATGCAAGGAAGATACAGCGACGCAAGAAGTTCTGAAGCTGTCTGCTGAGAAGAAGTGGCCAAGATGCAATAAGTGCCGGGCAATTGTTGAACTGAACGTGGGTTGCTACCACATGAGTGAGTTTGTTCAGAAGATACATGCACATCCCAGGTCCCCGCTAATCATACGATCTTCAGCTTGCCGCTGCGGAGGACAGTTTTGTTATCTCTGCGAAGCACCCTGGAAGACCTGCGCTTGTCGCCAATGGGACGAGCCGAGGCTTTTCGCTGGCGCCGAACAACGAGTCAACAGAGCGCCGAACGCCCGGAACATGACCCCCCAGCAGCGCGCTGCTGCTTTGACTCGAGCCCGGCGAAATGCCATACGGAACCATGCATGCGAGCATGATGGTCGTTGGACCAAGATTTATGGTGAGCATACTTGTGAGGGGTGCAGTGACAGGCTGAGCGAGTTCATCTTTCGATGCGACGACGATGCGACGACTGTCTTCTGCCGTCCTGTGCGAGATGCAGGCTCAACCGATTCACCTGAATAGAAGGAAGGGAGAGTACCGCAGGCATTGTATGAGATTACGGGGATTCAAAGATGACTGGCATGGGTTAGGCCGTTGGAGAGCAGTCGTCCATCTTGGACTCTGGAGTAATTCGCAAATATCTCATCTTGGAAGCTTAAGGAGCTAGCAAATGACAAAGTCTCATCTTGAGAGCACTCTCTGAAAGAGAGATCGCGTCATTTACATGAGACCGCCCAACTTCCCTGTGTCTATACGGAAATGTTTCCTGTGTAGTTAATTACTCCTATTAAAGACGGTGGCAGAAGTCATGATAGTAATAGTTCGACGACGATGGTAGCCACGACGACGGCATACGATCTCGCCTATAGTACGGGACGTTCCTTAAATCCCAACGACAAACCGCCTTCTTGCTTGTCCTCCAATCTTTGTGATCGCATTCAAGGTTTTGCTCTCAGTCTACGTGCATGACGGCCCCTTTTGTCCCCAGCTTGGCCAAGTCAGTTTGCTTTCTATCCTTCACCTCGTCACCCTCTGCAGCAGTTTAAGTGAACCCCATTGTGATTCTCCTTCTGGTCTTCCAATTCCAGCAGTGCTGATCCCCTTTGCTCCAGAGCAATAATCAATATTAAATCCCAAAAGTTTGGCTCTATCGTCGAACTGTTTTAATAGATGATGAACGCTGGGTGGAAGGTGTTCTTGTTAAAAGCGATTGAAACGGCACCTCCGACAAGCACGGATTCGACACCGCTCGCATTCGTAGATGAATCGAGGCAGAGTGTCGTGGCATTCTTCGCAATTGAAGACACCGCTGCGATATCTCCAGGCCTGATGTGTGCATTCATGGTTCTGGACCAGATTCTGTGCCTCCCTTTCAGCCAGCCGTGCCCTCCTCTCAGCGTCGAAATGCCGAGCGTCAGCATTTCTGTTGATGATGGCATTAGCGCGAACGTAAAGTCGCTCCTCGTTCCACTGCTCGCATACACATGTCTTCCACTTCAGGCCGCATGTATAGCAGAACTGGGCACCGCAGTGACAGGCTCAAGAACGGTTCAGCCGAACGCTCGGTAGGAACAGGTATGATGGGAAGCTCACTCATATGATTGCAACCATGCTCGAGCTCCACAACGCGTCGGCAAGAGAAGCATCGCTGCCATCCGTTCTCGGCGGCGACTTGCAGCAGAAACTGCGTAGCGGTGTCTTGGCTACAGTCTTTACCCTGGTGGTCTGCGCCTTTGCATATGGCGCATGTTTTATAAACACATCGCGGACACGTCGCTATATCGTTCTTAATAAACTCCACGGGCACGAAAGTTGAACAGGTGGGTTGGTGGCAGTACGTGCGGTTCGGGGTTGAGAACTCGACCTCCTTAGCGCGGAACTGGCCCACGAGTTTGGAGCCGAGGACGGGGCGATGATTGTCAACGGGAATTCGCTGACCGCAACAACGTGCCGGGAAAAGAGATTCGTCTGTGTAAGGCATGCTTCAAAGAGACTTCGGAGGCAGTCATGGCAGTAGAGGTGGCTACAAGGACAGCGGGACAATTTAGTGATGGAGAACCTGTCCTGACAGCTGATGCAGGGTTCCTTCGCTACCTTGACGGGCTTCGTGGTGCCATTCATGTCGCTTCGCGAAGCTGCCCAGGAGGAGGACTCTGGCTGGTCTAGAGTCTCGTCATCGTCGGCGTCTGCAGACATGTAGAGCTTCTGAAGCTTGCGAAGCATGTCGGCGTCTAAGTCGGACATGTCTTCGTCTGGGGAAGTCGTCTTTGAATTAGCAGAAGTCTGAAAGGAGTTCTGGTTGACTGTCTCGCCGCGGCTAAGGCGAAGTGCTATCTCTCTGTCGCGCTCAGCTTGCCTCTCCTGTGCAGCGAATACTGTCACAAGTTTACCATCTGTACGGGTGGCCTTTTGAATGCTCCGGCTCATGGTTCTGTCCGATACTCGTTGCTCACATGTCTTGAGCTCAGACTGGTAGGTTTCGAAGGCGAATTCCGAGTCAGGAAGACTACCTTCTTTCTGCTTGCCCTTTCTGCAATTCTTCATATGTTCTAGATCTTCGAGCTGCATCTGGATGACCAGGTGCAGGGTCTCCTCGTCGATGTCGTGGCAAATCATCTTCACCCAATTAGATGAGATGAGTAGAGATGATTAGTGAGGGTTCGAGGTGGATAGCAGTAGGATTCATCAAAAGCCGTTCGAGTCCCGAGAGGAGACGGATGAGATGTCGTTTCAGATCGAAATTGTGAAATAGGACTCTACTGCCGGGGAAAGCTCATGGGTCTCAAGAAGAAATGCTGACAAATTACACTTAAGCAAGGAAGTATTGGAGTTGGAAGTTGAGTGCAAGATGGAGATGACTTGTTGCAGCTGGGGAGCCTGCGCCTGTTCACAAGAACGCAGCCGAGCATAACGGTGTAGGTCAGGTGAAAGCGAAGGCGGGGGCAGCTGAAATAAATAACACATCCTCCGGGGCCGACATCTGAAGCTCGATGCTTTTCTGTTGGGTTGCCGACGGCTTGGTCTTTGACTTCCAGATGTAGACGGCCTCCTGCGTTGGAGTGGACGAATTACATGTGGGAATAGCAGCCAGCCGATGCGCAAGCTTGCAGGCACACCCCTGGCGAAGGCACGATTGCATCATTCACTCCAACCCAAATCACAGGAACCTTCGGTCTTTGGTTGCTTTCAGATGACGCGACCAAATCAGAAGTTTCCTGAATACGTCGAGGCATACGTGAACAAGGTATATGGCGGGGAAACCCAGACAAGCCCTAGGAGAAGAAGTTATCTTGACGACTGACTGAGCCAGTGAGAATCGCCTGATAAACCTCGTCTGAACTTCACCGGGGCCCCGGGATGAGGGTAACGATAACATTTTGGCCGAACAAACTAATGGTGAATAGGTTGCAATAGTATTTTGACGGAAATGCTACCGTCGTTTTGCGACAGCCACTTGAGCATGTGAGAGTTTGAAGAGGCCATTAGACGAAGGAATCAGGGGTCTCAAATGGCCTGAGTGGAATGGTGCAAGACGGCCGGTTTTGAGGGCAACAGACAACTCGCCGACAGCACCTGAAATTCGTCAAGGACAGCCCGAGAATATGACGAAGAGTTTTGCTAGCTGGGCAGTGTCAGTTGCCTATCCGGGCAGTGTCACTCCCCCATAAATATATTGTAGTGTACCTGTACTCTAATAAGGACTGCGGTAGAGGTAGATAGGAATGACGATGGACGACGACGACAGCGATAACAAAAGTCATAACAAAAATGATAACAACAGCGAGGATAGTCGTTTTGGCATAGATATAGGACATACGGATTGTATACTGCTTATGTAGTGGGCACTGCCCGGCTAGCAGAATTCATGACGAATACTTCCAATCATAATAATGTTTCTTGATGCGTAAGCTCCGCCGGTGAAGTAACCTGGCCTTTTAAAGAAGACTTTCGTGATTTCTCTGAGATATAGCCTTGCTTTTCTAAACCCGTGATACAAATGATGGAATGAAGATAATGTACGAATCCTACACAAGTGTTTCAGGGCTTCATTGTATGCCACCATGTGCGGCGTGGTTGGGATGCGCTGGGCCTTTGCAGAGAGTACAAGTGCTGTGCCAGTATACTGGACAAATACCGACGTCCCCATTTATATTGCTCGAAGGAATGGATACAGAGCAGACAGGGACATGGCAGTATGTTCGGTTGGGTGTCGTGTACTCAACCTCCTTCACGCGCCATCTTTCCACGTGCTCATTGCCGAGGATGTGCTCTGCGACAGGAAACGCATTTCCACAGCATTTAGGAGGGAAAAGGCTCTCGTCGGTAATGGAAGCTCCGAAGAGATTGATGAGACAGCCTGAGCAATACTTGTGGTCGCAGGTGGTCTGAGGAAGGTCGGTCTGCGAGTGCTTATTCATGCACATGTCGCATTTCTGTGTTCGGATGGCCCCCCACCATCTGGCATATCCCGCGTGCATAGAAGTCTTCCACCAAATACAAGGGGTAGGAAATCTCGCGCTAACATCATCATGCCGGTTCTCAGTCTCTCCAATTTTATCTTTGCCTGACCAACTTCCTCTTCTTCGTCGGTGTCCTCTCCGCCAGTTTCCTCTTCGTCGGCTCCCTCCTCCTCGTTGAAGCGTCGACTCAGTTGTTTGTCCATTACAAAGGTCTCGAGAAAAGACAGCTCCTCCTGGTACATCTCAAAGGCAAGATCTGCGTCCAGAAGGAATCCATCCTTGTTATTACAGCCTCTGGCCTCATGTCGAAGCTCTTTGAGGTCGGCCTGCTGCAATTGGAGAACCAGCTGCAGCGTAGCATCATCCATATCGTCGGCAGAGCAGTTCAAGATGTCGTTGAAGGATTGGCAAGTATTTGACTATGGAAAGAAATCAGCAGGAAGGGGGAAAAGGTAAAGAAGGTTTGCAACCGGGGCAAGACCTTGAAGGCGCACCTTACGTACATCTTTTGAGGGTGTGGCGCGATTAGGAGGCTCAGTGATTCACTTAGATACTCCTCAAAAGCAAGGGGAAAAAACAAGGCGTAAGGAATTTTGTGGTTGAAAAGAAGACATGGAGAATGACCTTTTCTCGACTAAGGTATCATGGGGAAACAAGTGAGCCTGCAAGTCTAATGACGAGAGAGGCCTGCCTTACGGACCACCGGGGGAACGTCATTGCAATAGATTGACTTCGGAAGAATCGGGAAATCTCGGCATTCAAGGGAAATTGAAATGATGCTGTTGCGATGTTATTGATGAGGAAACCCAAGGGCCGGCCTCTTATCATGGGATTGAGCGCATCTAGGTAGTAGTTCAGTGTTGTCGACGCCACTGTGACAGGAAACCGGGGTAGTATGGGTCCAAGCGCCATGCGGGGCGACGCACAAGAGTGGAACCATTATCTAAACGCCGATCGCGATAAGGCTCTGCTTCTGAAATTTTATTTTTCGACTTCGCCTCAGTGACCTTTCATCATCGCTGCGACCGACGGCATCTCATCAGCAAAAATGGCGGACGATGGCATGATTATGAATTTTGACCTGGGGACGGGTCCCATAAAGTCCCACGTCAAGATCCAGGGAGGACGATGGCGCGACAGAGTGAAGGCGCAGAGGATTGCGAACAAGGGCGGCGACAAACGTCCTTCATCACCATCTTCAGACGCCCCGCCGACCCAAAGATGGACGCCCGGAAACAGGAAGTCTCACAGAGCCGACAATGACGATGGCTCTCACGAGCGCCCGGCGAAGCGACCAAGAGCCGACCCTCCGAGGCCAAGCTCCTACCAGACCGGCAAGCTGCCGCCGGGTAGCATCTCCAGCGGCAGGCCGAGGGACGGCCAGGTCACTTCCAGACTTTTCTCATTCAACCCGACACCCAAGACTGTGTTTGACGACCCGAGCGAAGAGAAGGTTGAGGAAGTTGCGAGAGAACCGTCGAACGCCGCGTTATCCGCCGAAGCTGCCAGTTTCCACGCCCTCGGCATCTCACGACGTCTCGCCCTGACGCTATCCGACAAGATTCAGCTCAAGGCCCCGACTGCGATCCAGGCCAAGGTTATACCGCAACTCATCACAGAAGACAGCGATGCGTTTGTGCAGGCGCAAACAGGTTCCGGAAAGACTCTGGCTTACCTGCTTCCCATCCTCCAACGGATCTTGTCAGTCGAGGGTCAGATCAAGAGAGACTCGGGCCTCTTTGCCATCGTTTTGGCGCCGACACGCGAACTTTGCCGGCAGATTGATGTCGTTCTCGCCAAGATCCTTCCACCTTACCTCGTCAGCACAACCGTCATCGGTGGTGAGAGTAAGCACTCTGAGAAGAGCCGTTTGAGGAAAGGTGTCAACATTCTCATCGCCACACCCGGTCGTCTGAGCGATCATCTCAACAACACCAAGAGCCTCGATGTCGGTACTGTGAGGTGGTTAGTCCTCGATGAAGGTGATCGTCTGATGGAGATGGGTTTCGAGGCGGAGCTGCGTACCATTGTTGGCAAGATCCGTGAGGGCGGTCTCTCAGATACGACGGCAAATGGTGTCTCTCTTGCTGGTCTGCCGAAGCGCCGTGTCACCGTTCTGTGTTCCGCTACCATGAAGATGAACGTCCAGAAGCTTGGCGAGATCAGTTTGGAGGATGCCGTACACGTCACGACATCTGAAGAGGACCAGGATGGTGCTGAGGAGGTCAAGTTTGAGGCGCCGGCGCAGCTGAAGCAGAACTACGTTATCGTCCCTGCCAAGTTGCGACTCGTTACCCTCATCTCGCTCCTCAAGTTAACATTCTCACGCAAGGGTTCGGTGATGAAGGCCATCGTCTTCTTATCTTGTGCCGACTCCGTCGACTACCACTTCGATCTCCTCCGCAAACCGCAATCCGAGGATGAGAAATCCTCGGCCAATCCATCAGGAACGGCAAACACCGTCGCCCCAGCCGGATACATCACGTCACCAGCCAACACCAACATCGTCCTTCACAGGCTACACGGCTCCCTTCCCCAACCCGTCCGAACGGCCACACTTGCGTCCTACAGCAGCTGCAAAGACCCAACAGTTCTGATCACCACCGATATCGCTTCGCGTGGTCTCGATGTGCCCTCCGTCGAACTTGTCGTCGAATACGATCCCGCTTTCGCCGCCGCCGACCACGTTCATCGCATCGGTCGTACCGCTCGTGCTGGTCGCCCCGGAAAGGCCGTCCTGTTCTTGATGCCTGGCTGCGAAGAAGGCTACATCGAGCATCTCAAGGCCAAGAACGCCACCCCCCCCAAGCCCGAGCTTTACGACACCGTTCTGCAGCGCGGCCTTACGACACCAATGGAGTTCCCCGTCGAGACTGATGCTAAGCCCCTGCCTGCAACCGACAAGAGCTTCAATGCCCGTGCCGAGAACCTCCAACTCCACCTCGAGCAGCGCCTCCTCCTGCCGTCGAGCAAGACTCTCCTCGACGAAGCTCGCAAGGCGTTCCGCTCTCATATCAGGGCATACGCTACCCACGTAAAGGAGGAGCGCGTGTTCTTCGACATCACCGAGCTGCATCTGGGTCACATGGCGAAGGCCTACGGTCTGCGTGAGGCGCCATCTGGTGTCGGTCGCGGCGACCACAGCGGCAAGAAGACTGTCATGAAACAGAAGGCCGCTGGCAGACGTGGCGAGAAGAAGTCGTCAGGTAACGCCATGGAGGATATCAACACTGCTGGAGGCGAGGAGCCAAGCGAGATGGAGAGAAAGATGAAGGCGAAGATGAGGATGGTCATGAACGCGGCCAGCGAGTTCAACCTTGGTTGAAATGTCTTTGTGCATGGGTGTATCTTGGGCTTGGGGAGGTTTATAGACAAAAAGTCATGTTTATAGCGATTAAAAGGTCATATACCAGACTGGGTAATTTTATTTGTCGACACACATGCTCTTGCCTCTGCACCTTCTGTGACGTGAAGCGGCTATCGAGAATATGCAGCAAGCGGGGTCGCTCTTCCCCCGCAAAATTGTTAGTGCTAGTTCACACAGCACTAGACCACCCGGACGGCTACCTAATCTCATCGAAACCATTCACGAAGCATCTACCTTGAGACGTTGAATCCATTTTCGCGAAGTCTTCGAGAACCCGCGCGTCGCAAATCGGAAGCTCACCCTCAAAACTCATAACATGTCATTAATAGGGATCAGCGTTGGTCAATCTCTACATCGCACGCGACTGCAACCCCTCCAAACATGACACGACGACTGCCCTGGGCGCGCGACGACGTCGACCCAGTACGAACACCTGCGAAAGCCGCCACCAAGCCGTCGACTTCTCGTTCAGCAGCGACGCCGCAACGCGCCACGCCAAAGCAGAAGGCGACACCGACGTCGCGCAACTCAAAGCAACAATCGTCACGGTTAAATGGCCTCCTCAGAAGTAGGTGCTCATCACACACGGCGCTGCGCGGACGCTCACTCACACGTTGCAGATCGAAGTGCTTCGACCTCACCACCACCACAGCCCATACCGGAAATGTGAGCTCTCTGCCTAACAAACACGCCCGTGCAGCACTGATGCTCTCGCAGCTTCATGATCGAAGGCCTAGAAAATGACGACAAGTATCGCATGGTTGAGGATGAACTCTTCACCATCGCGGGCCAGTTCACAGCGCATCTCCACGCAGCGGAGTACCAACGCCTCAAAACGCAGACGAAATCTCAGAATGCGGAGAGGATCAAGAACATTTCCCGTCCCGTCGTTGGATCCCTGACTGACATTGCGAGGCGACGTCAAGAGGAGCTGCTCCGTAAGAAGAAGCAGCGCGAGGCGCTCCGCAAAGCGAAGAAGGAAGCCGGCGTCGACGATGAGAGCGGCGACGAGACGAGCATGCCGTGGCACGGCACCTCGCTGCAGGGGTTGATGGACAGCCCGCAGAAGAAGGAGGTGCCGCTCACGACGCTGACGAGGGCAGACTCCAGGACGAAGACGAGCTTGTTTGGAGGAGTTATCAAGTCTCAGAGGAGATCTGCACCTGTCAGCAGAAGAGAGGATTTGGAAGAGGAAACGGAGTCCGAGAGCGATGACCTTGGCGGCTCGGTGAAGGCCCCAACGAGGCGAGAAACCGTGAGGTCAGCGCAGGTATCGAGGCCTTTGCCAAAGGATCCGGCCCAGTCCACAGCGAAGGGATCGGGAGCCGCTGCTTCGCTTGGAGCCGCGAGGCATGCTTCCCGAGTATCCAAAGAAAGACCGACGACACGACCAACAAGCAGCTCTTCATCGAATAGCACAACTAGGACTGCAACGCCAGGTGCCGATGATGGTGACGACGAAGACGACATTTTCACGCGTCACAAGAATCGCACTGCAAGGGCAAGAACGCCACGGCTTGGAGCTGCAAAGCATACATCACCGACAGCAAGACCAATGAGCAGCTCCTCATCAAATAGCACGACTGCAACGACGACGCCTGCTTTCGATGACGGCGATGACGAAGATGACGACATATTCACGCGCTTCAAGAATCGCACTGCAAGGGCAAGGCCACCACGGCGAGCGCCCGTAAAGAAGGTGGAACTTCAAGACTCGAGAGATATCATTCCATCATTTCTATGAGCTTGACCCCTCACACAATTAATGTAATTTAGTAATTCAATACCAAAAAGGCTTGTCATTCACCCATATCAGACACCCTATCTCTTCAGTCTATTGCTCTTTCAAAGTCTCAACAATGGTGGTGCTCATCGTCAGACTCCTCAACGGTTGCTATTTCTCGCTTCTGACTCTCTGAACGCGCGAAAAGGTCGCGGGCCGTCAGCTTCTTGATGAGATTGGTACCGTCCAGAGCAAGAGTCGAGAGCACATGAGCGGTGGTCTGTGGATCAGGTTAGTTATGAAACACAGTTGGGAGGAACGAAAGCCTTACCTTTGCATTCACCGCCAGCTGGTCCAGGTCCGGGTTGTTGATGTTGTCGCATGCTTGATGATAGCACGGATCCTGGGCAGAACCTGTCCCCGTGTGAAGACCTCCGATGGGCTTGTTCAACACCTGCCAGAACGACGCGTAGTCACTGCCGTTAGTGAAGCGAGCCGCTGTCACGTCGACACCCTTCGAGACGAAGTCGGCGGTGAACAGCTCCTGGATCACGTCCGAGCCGGCCGGTGCGGGGACGCCGTACGAGGCACCGTCGCCGTCGAAAACTCCGTAGTAGCCCTTAGAAACCATATCGAAGTTGAGATACGCCAAGATATTACCCGCCTCGGCCGCGGTGAGGTTGTTGACGTAGTAGCGCGAGCCGATGAGGCCCTTTTCTTCAGCACCCCACCACGCGAATCGAATCTTGTTGTTCACGGAGTACTTGGTGAGGGCCAGGAAGAGCTCCAATAGCAGCGACACGCCAGATCCTGCTGAAGTTAGCCTAGTGGTTCTCATGGCTACACACGTGAATAAGATGACACTCACCATTGTCGTTGATACCCGGACCCCAAGCAACGCTGTCGAGATGGGCACCAAGCTAGGCATCATTTAGCAATGCTCTGACTTTCAGTAGGTAAACAAACTCACAACAATCACATTCTCAGAATCCCCGCCTTCCGTCTCGGCAAAGACGTTCTGCGTCACCCGACGATCGACGTACTCATCCTCCCAGAACGTCGCCGTCAAAACCTCTCCAGCGAGTAGACGCGCCTCCAGCGGATCTCCAATATACTTATTGACAAACCCGCTAGGAATAAACGTCCCGTCATCAGCCACTCCAAGCGACCCCGCGGTCAAATTGAACTGGAAGTCCGGAATCGCGATCACAGCGCTCGCACCAGCCGCGGCTGCCGGCTTCATGATCCCGGCGTACTGCGAGCTGCGGCTGTACCCGTCGCACAGCGTCTCGCGGACCAGGACGATCTTGCCGGCCACATCGCGGCCGTCGTACGAGGACGCGTTGCAGGCATCTGAACCCTCTGGTCCAAGGGCGAGCTGGCCCGTGATGCCCTCGGCGGGCGTCGTGGGCGACAGCGTAAGCCCGTACGCGGCGAGGGCTTCGCCGTTGACGGTCAGGTTGGCCCTGATCTCGCTGCTGAAGACGGCGGAGAAGTCTTGCTTCCAGACTTTGGCGCCAGAGACGGCGGAGATGCGGTCGTAGACGTAGTCGACGGAGGCGGCGTAGCCTGGGAGGCCGAAGGCGCGGTTCCCGTCGTTGGCTGTGGCGATGTCGTCCAGGGAGACGAGGTTGGCTTCCAAGCTGCGGAAAGTGTGAGTTGCGACATGAACAGAATCTTCGACTGGGGCAGCGCGCACTTCTCTCTGGTGATGGCTGCTTGGAAGCTGGCCGAGTCGACGAGCGGCCTGTCGTCTTGACGCTCTTGCAGCGCGCATGCGCCCAATGCGACCCAGAGGGCGCCGGTGATGACCAAGGACCTCATCTCGAACGGTGCTTCACGGGCGGGAATGAAGGTGAACTTGTGACACCTTAAAGGAACATTGAGATCTCTCGGGAGCGGGTTTCCGTTTTTTAAGATGATGGCGGTCTTCTTTCTTCCCTTCTACCTTTTTTTCCGCAGTTTCCCGCCTGGAGGCGCACTTTTTTGACTGCCGTAGGGGGGGGACTCAGAGAGTGACATGGCATCATTTCGTGTTCAGTGGGACCCCTGAACGGGTGACCGAAGAATGAGGAAGGTCGCAGCGAGAAACCCGGGCTCTAATCCCGATTTCATTATCAGAACCGACCGAGCCCGCCACAATGTTGACAATGCCAAGATGCTAATCATGACAGAAATCATGCCTTGGAAATCGCGGATTCCGAACATGGTGTTTTGGGGAACGATTCGGGTGCTCTGATGCTACAGCGCTTCGGTCTCGCTTGACTGACCCAGAACCCGTGAATGATCGACCGGGAAGTCAGATCTTTCCGCCAAGCCTTTTGGGCAGGGATCACTGACCGGGGACTCAACGGCGAGGGACGTTTAAGTATCACGATCGTGAGGTTCGGGAATAATCTCATGTAAAATGCTATGTAACAATGCTTGCGCGACATGATCTGAAGGGTATCTGTGCTCTTCCAATCTCAGTAGCTTGAAGTTCTGCTGCTGGAACCAAATGACTCATCTGCTAGAAATGAAAATGTGTTCATCCCCAGATCTTGGTTCGTGGCTACTTTGAACTTTTATTAGGTTCTTCTAAGCTTTCGACATGCTCATTCTAGTCATTCATTTCCTACTACGACCAAATCGCTTACCATCCGTTCGCTCACCATCTCCAGAAGAGACTTGGCGAACCCAATCATGTCTGCAAGGCCCATAATACAGAATTATTACAAGAAGACTGGGGTTGAAAGCCATGAGCCGAGCTTTGGCGGTGTAGGAAGATATGCCAACATGCCTTGATGTTGAACGGCGCAAAGCGTGCGGGGAAAAAAATCCGGCCCTACAGAGACTGTTTTTGAAATGGTCTGATTTCATGCTAGAGACCTGAGACATGCTCCTTCTAGTCCTCGCGTGGGAGAGCCAAGAGAACTCGGTCGGGAGCACCCATTCGGCAGTGAAGACAGTTTCAAGACCCTCAGCTAGGCCCGAGGCCCGTGGAGGTCCTGAAAACGTAACTCGCAGGGAAAACAACGAATAGAATGACGATAAGACCGCCTCAATTACATCCGTACCGGGGCGCTAGACGTTGCGGTAGAGGAGCGGGCCGCTAAAGAAGCATGTCTCAGGGTATTTGGAGACAATTTTCGTGCTGAACTCCAACGCGAACAACATGTTGTAAGACAGGATATCAGAATACGACTGCACACATATGCGCGTTACCGTGGCACCCGCTGGGAGCGGTGAACTGCTTCCGGTGTGAGGAAGCGGCTGGCTGAAGTTGACAGGACGACTGTTTCGGGAAATAATATCAATGTTTGTGCGAACTGTCAACAGATTTTGTCTTGGCCTTGGCGCATACATAATACACAGGTCAACTTCCACTCATTATAAAAGGGGCCAAAATGACCATCATCTCGTCCCAAGTTTGCTACACCGTTGATATACCTGGGTAAACAGGACGCAAACACATTCAGGATGCATCTGTCGACTTTCTCCTCGCTGTGTCTCGGCGCAACCGTTGTATTGGGCTCGCCAATCGTCCAGAAACGCGATGTAAATCCCCTTGGACACTGTATATTCTTTTTCCATGTTGATTAACGTGCCGAAAAACAGATCGATCTTAATGAAGCCCGCTGCCCCGATTTCTGCAAGAATACCTACTATAATACCAACAGTGCGGATAAATCAGGCAATTATGTTTGCGACGATCTCCGCCTGGGACCCAAGACACTGCCATCGGCAATTCCTCTTCAAGGAATCGTGGGCCCGGACAGCACATATCGACGCTTTGGCGGGCGGTGCCCAGGCCAGTATCTCACCGAATTTTGGGGTACGGATGATAAAAACAAGACTGGTTGGAGATATCCGATTGTTTTGGGCTACGGCATCGACACAGCGGGAAAGCCCGCCACATTCAATTTCACACTCCTCCCGGGCGTTTACATTGACCGTTTCGGTGGTGAGGGGGGTGACTACACGTCGCCGGCAGGCACGCCCTACGCCATGCGCAGTCTGCCCCCGTGGAATCTGAACACCCGAAGTCCAAACGATCCTCCATACGGTTACCATGTCTACAGAGTTGCGGCGCCAATTGTGGTGCAAGCCGGTCCTATTTCACCCCATTTTGGCCAGCCTGGCTTGGGGCTACAGTTCTTCATGCCGGCGAATGTTTCCGTGCTAGCCGATCAAGGGAACTTGACAAGGGTCAACTTAACGGCGACTCCAAACTGGTGGGACTTTAGTTAAAAGACATCATGTATTTACCCATGAGAAAACCTTCACCCTCAAGTTAAATTCATTAATTTGTGAATTTATGAGAAGGTGAGATTTGACTTCTTTGATCGAGTTTGACGAGTATTGGCGATGAACACTCACTGGTGAATTTTTCAATCAGTAATTTACACATCACATGGATGTGTATGAGGGTATTCTTGAAACAGAATTATCCTGCGAGAGGGGTGCATAGTCCACACGATTTTTACAGCCAGGTTCTTGCGCAAGCAAACCTAACGCAGGATGTGTAATCAATCCTTTGGATTGAGCAACTCGAACGTGGTCTAAACCTTGAGATAAAGTCAAGGGAGAAGACAACACATTTGTCACTGGAGGAACCCTTTGCTCTGGCATACCTTACAAAGGCTGCCTTTGTGCGTTGCTCATTATTCACGATCAATAGGCTTGTTAGCCGAACAGAAAGACATGTTCTCCCCTTGCTTCCTGACGGTAAACGCCATGATCAGAATTAGAAACTAGCGCCCCATGAGAGTCTTTGAAGCGAGGGAAGCAGTTCAAAGCAGTCCAGAAACATAGTCAGCTGTGGGATAAGCAATGAACTTAGTAACAGTTTGGCGACGGCTGTGCCCTCGTCTCGACCTTATATTGCATCTAAATAATTCCCGAAGTCCCGTCAATTCTCAACATCATTCCAATTCACCCTCTAACTCCACACAAGCCTTCGCCTGTCTTATATTGTTTCACATTGCAATTTCAACAAAAACACGATCTCATCGCAACCTCAGTTCCACGAAGAAGCCAAACACTCCTTTTCACGCCATTTTCATCCATTACACGAACAATACAGGAGGCTAGACGTCACAATGTCCTCTCCTAACGACAACGACTTCGAAGCTAGGGTGAACAATATTATGGACCTGCGAGAGTGTATCTCAGGTTCGCGAGAACAGCTTGACATTGTAAGGACAGCCGCGGACCGAGCCTTTATGTTGCAACAGAGAGGATTGCAGTTGAACCGCGGGGTTACGCGCAACGAGAATGAAAATGCAGTAGAACTCAGCGACAACGAGCAGCGTGCCTATGACATCCATCACAATGTTGAGGAGGGGCACAATAACCTTGAAGGGATGGATATCGACTCCTCCCCGTCTGATAGCCCTTCCCAATCGACAACCGGATCAGCGTCTCCGGACTCGAATCCTGCTCCCGCTGCTGTTCCCGTTGCTGGGCCCCCTCCTACCGGCTACCCTCCTACTGGGCCCTTACCGGCTGCCCCTGTCCCTGTTGCCCCTGTACCTGTTGTCCTCGCTAACAACCTTCCCACCGCCAATGATTTCATCAGGAATGCTCCAGCCTTGATAGCGACCGTTCCAGCCAACCTTGAAGCTCAGTGCCTTCAGAGTTGTCAAGCCTTGCTTGCAAATTCCGAAGCACTTGCACAAGCTGCTGCTGCTGCGTCAGCAGCCTCTCCCAACGACATGAATCTCCTCGCTAAGTCACAAGAAGCAAACAGGAAGGTTATAAGAGATCAAGGCAGAGCAAGGCTGCGATCTAGAGTCTGCCCTCACTGCCGCAAGCTCCACGACTTCAACGACAATTGCCGTCGTCATATGAGAGATAACCATTACAGCAAGCCTCCGTATAACCACTTGAGCAGGGCGGAACATGTTAAAATTGCCAAGGCTGAGGCACCTTGAGATATCCGGGGGATGAAAAAGAACGTGCGGGTTGACGTCTATAGATATCAGGGGGCTGGGATGGCGTGGGCGACGGGATTAAAGGGTTGCTATAGAATTTACATCTTTGCTTATAAATCAACATGTTTTAAATGTTAATCATTTCCCTGTACTGTTTTCCTTTAGATATTGCGAAGGATGAATAAGTGTCAAAATGCTATGCCACCTCATTTGCAGTTATTTGTTACGACCCGTTATGCATGGATAACAGTTGACCGACCCACTTGGGCGTCGGGCGGCTAGGACAGGACATTTTGTCAGAACTAGGGATCCCCTCGCTTATATGAAACTCACCGCTTACAGTCATTACTCAGTTATCTACATACACAGGCCAGGATTGCCTTACAAGGGATATACGCCAATCGTTTATATAGATCTACTGCAGAACCAGCAGAT